AAGGCTTAGACTGTTCTCTAAAGGCTGGAAGGAGAGTTGGGATGGAACGTATAGAAGTGAGAAGGCATAAATTGGTAGAAGTCATAAATGAGGTTGGGATCCCCAAGACTACTGCGGTGAGAAATTTACCACGTCATCATTCTTCCCAACTAAGAGGAAGTCCTCTGTCCCTCGTGCTCTGGTGTCCAGCAGGGGGCGCTCTGTCTCCATATTTCCCCTTTATTCACCCAACAGAACCAAGTTCTTTGCTCCTTCATTCAAAAGTATTGAGCCCCCTGTGTGCCAGGCACTGTGCACCGGACACAACGCCACTGGACTGCAAAAATGCAAGTACGAACCAGACAAAGACCCATTCTTTGCGGTGCTAGCAGGATAGAATTACAGTGAATAAATAATTACAGAGATTTAATTTAAGGGAAAGGGGATCAGGACAGACTTCCTGCAAAACTGACTTTTAAACTGAGACTTGGCAGATTCCTAAATCTTGGCCAGGTGACGATGTGGAAAAGAGGTTTAGATGGGTGTGTTGGGGGTAGAGAACAATGTGCAAAGACCCTGAAGCAGGAAAGATCAGGACCCCTTCAGAGGGAAGGAAAGAGGCCTTCATGGTGGCTGCATTCAGCTTTGGTCAGAGCTTTAACCCTTTGTATTGTGGAACATGCACAGCTGGAGCCTTGGGCTTTCCTAGGCTCAGTTCTCTTGATAATTGCTTTTTTTTTTTTTTTTTTTTTTTTTTTTGAGAAAGGGAGGAGCGAAAGTCAGCAGGTCGCTAGGGCCTTTCTAGAGCGACCAAGCTTGGAAGGGAGAATTCCCGTTATCCCCTTCCTAAGCTCAAAACTTTTTTTTTGTCCAGGAGTGCAACAGAAGTAGATTTAGTTTCAGTAGATTCAGTAGATTTAGAAGTAGGTTTAAGCTCAGGGCCCCTCCCGCAGCTGTGGGGCAGTGAAGTCATGTGCTCACATATTTTCATGAAACGGGCCCAAATGAGATATTTTAATCACAGCTGGGAATTTGAAAGGGGGCATACCAGCAGTGACTCTGTTGAAAAATAGTATAGAGGTGTGCCAGGCAGTTAATTAATACAAATATGTTTAATGAGGTTTGTGGTATTTTTCAGCATTCGAAAGATGTGATTTATCATGCCTTCTTTTCTCGTTCTAAATAAACATTCTATAGCGGTATACATTTTATGTTTATAATCTAGTTTTCCTTTGTTTAAAGAGGACCTCTTAAATTATAAAAGCTCCAGGTCCAGTACCCCTGGATCTGCCTGAGTGGGACTCCAGAGCCCCATCTTCTGGTGCCAGATCTTAACTGGCCCCTGGCCCCTCCCTCTCCCTTTGCTCTGTGGTCCACACTCCCTGGGCAGACAGCTCATGGGTAAGGAGAATGCTAAAGGGATAGAGCTGCCTCTTGGCTCCTGGGGGGAAGCATGTTGAGGGGTACAGAGTGCCAGACTGCCGCTGCCCAGCCCCTCCTGAAGAGGAGACGTCTCGAACTATCCAAGGTCTTTAGGCTACAAAGAGAGTCTGTGGGAGTGCTGCCATCCACTCATTCATTAGTTCATTCCTGCATCGTGTTGTTGACCCACCCAGCAGCTCTAAGGGGCCTTGTTGGCTTTGATGTCTGTTTCACTGGTGTGTGTTAGGCTTGCGTCAGGGGCATCTCTGTAGACCCACTTCCCCAGCGGTGCTGTGGACAAATAGGGCCCATTCCACTGGAGATGCTTAGGTATTTTGAGATGGGGTAGGGGGAGGGAGGTGAGAATGTTTTGAATGGTGTGATTTCTTAGGCCAGATAGAGACTCTGAGCAAGGGATGCATCCCCATTAGACACTGGATGATACTGACCCTTCAGACCCACACAGAAGATCCCTGGATCTGAGGCTTGGAGATCTGGGTTCAAATCCTTTTTTTAATTGTAGTTTACTTATTTATTTTGAGAGAGAGAGAAAGAGAGAGAGAGAGAGAGAGAGAGAGAGAGAGAGAGAGAGAAAGCATGCAAGCAGGAGAGAGGCAGAGAGAGAGGAGAGAGAGAATCCCAAGCTGGTTCTGTGCTGTCAGTGAAGAGCCCGACTCGGGGCTTAATCTCACAAACTTGAGATCATGACCTGAGGTGAGATCAAGAGTCAGATGCCAACTGAGTCACCCCAGGGCCCCATCTGGGTTCAAATCCTGCTTCACCCATTAATTTAACAGCCTGAGCAAGTACTCTCAGTTCTCTAAACCCTGTACCCACATTTGCAAAATAAGGATGTCATGGGACTTTTTCAAGTTGTACATGAATTGCCGATGAGATAATTGATGGCCAGATGTTATAACTTTCTAATTTGAGATCATCTCAGGCTTACAGAAAAGTTGCAAGAAGAATAAATGAATTCCTGTATCCCCTTACCCAGATTATCCAAATGTTAGCAATCTACCTCATTTATTATTATTCTCTCCTCTCCTATTTCCTCTATCACACTTAACTATTTCGGAGTGAATTGCTAACCTTATCCCTTTATCCCTAAATACGTCAGACCGTGTTTCTTAAAAATGCAAAGATATTCTCAAACATAATCATAATACAATTATCAAAGTCAGCATGATATAATACAATCTACTTGACCTTACTTGAGTTTTTGCAATTGTTCTACCAAAGTTCTAATAATGTCTTTTCTTGTCTAGAATCAATCCAGGATTACTCATTCCATTAAATTCTCACATCCCTATCTCTTTAATCTGGAATAAGTCTTTTATTGTTTCTCCACATTTTCTTTCTTTATTTTAGAGAGAGAGAGAGAGAGAGAGAGAGAGAGAGAGAGAGCATGAGTGAGAGAGGGGCAGAGAGGGAGAGGGAAAGAATCCCAAGCAGGCTCCACTCTCGGCACCGTCAGCACAGAGCCAGACATGAGACTCAGACCCATGAACCGTGAGATCATGACCTGAGCCGAAATCGAGTCTGACGCTCAACTGACAGAGCCACCCAGGGGCCCCATGACCTGACATTTAAAAAAATAATAGGCCAGTTATTTTGTTAAGTATCCTTCCATATGGGTTTGTCTACTGTCTCTCGATGATTAGATTCAAGTTTTGCATTCTGGGCAGGCACATCACAGAAAAGATACTCCTCTCTCAGTACATGATGTCAAGAAGGAAATGATATTTATTTGAACCATTATGTGTTGAGGTTGAATTGGTTGGTTGAAGTGTCAGGTTTCTCCACTGCAAAGTGACTATATTTTCCCTACAGGGATTTTTTTAGGGACATATGCTGAGATGACATAAATATCCTGTTTCTCCAACCTTTCACCCCATAGTTTTAGCATCCGTTGGTTGGATGCTAAATCAGTTTTTATCAAATGGTGATGGTTATCAAATGGTGATTTTCTAATTACATTATCTCTGCATTTATTAGAAGAGGTTTGCCTTCGCCATTTGTTTACTCATTTATTGATATCAGAATGGACTCATGGATTCCCACTTTTCAACGGGCTATAATCCATTCTATCATTTATTTTGATGTTTAAATTGTCCTCGGTTGGGCCAGCGGGAACCCCTTCAAACTGTTTCCTGGGTCCTGGGTCCTCATCTTTCTTGGAGCACTCTCTTGCTTTCTGGCACTTTCATCCGTTCCAGGCTGACCTGTGCTTTCCCAGCCCAGCACTGAGATCAGCCGTCTCTTCAAGGAGCCAAGTGTTTTACAAACTGAGAATGATAAGCGGGAGCTGTACTCCTATTTGTCTAGGGCATTGTGTTTGTAGAACCCAACATCCCAAATTTCTTAAAGAGCCTTGACCTTAAAAAAGAGCTGAGCATTGGGGCGCCTGGGTGGCTCAGTCGGTTAAGCATCTGACTTCGGCTCAGGTCACGATCTCACAGTTTGTGAGTTCGAGCCCCGCGTCGGGCTCTGTGCTGACAGCTCAGAGCCTGGAGTCTGCTTCATATTCTGTGTCTCCCTCTCTCTCTGCCCCTTCCCTGCTCATGCTGTGTCTCTCTCTGTCCCAAAAATAAATAAACATTAAAAAAAAAAAAGAGCTGAGCATGAACATCAATCTTGCTTAGTGGTTTTGTGATCTTAGGTAATATGAAACGGAAACAATAATGCCTAGCCCCCAGAGTTGTGGTGAGGATGTCAACTCTAAGAAGGCAAGGATCAGGGGCACCTGGGTGGCTCAGTCGGTTGAGTGTCCGACTTCGGCTCAGGTCATGATCTCACGGTTCGTGGGTTTGAGCCCTGCATCGGGCTCTGTGCTGATGGCTCAGAGCCTAGAGCCTGCTTCAGATTCTGTGTCTCCCTCTCTCTCTGTTCCTCCTCTGCTCTCACTCTGTCTCTCTCTCTCTCTCTCTCTCTCAAAAATAAAGATTAAAAAAATTTTTTAAGAAGGCAAAGATCAATGTACGCTTTTGACTGTAGTGCCTCTGGCACCTAGCAAACCGAGCAAGGGCCAGTGCACACAAGGAGCTTGAAGGAATGAGCTGTAGTGTGAGCATCGTGCCTGGTACGCAGCAGGCAGTGGGGACCCCTGTTCGTGTTTACTGCGTGTGGTCTGTTTTGTGGACTGTTTGTATATGCACAGAGTTAGAGCTATTGCCAGGAGTCACCGGTTGGCTGGAGGTCTCTGCGCCTTTTAGAGGCAGGAAGGCTTCTGGCCAAACAAGCAGAACTGAACTAGGCTGAGTGTGTGAGGACGAAGGCCTAAGATGGGTAGTAAAGTCCAGAGAAAGCTACAGGTGGCAGCCAGAAGGAGAGTGGCAAGGCTGGACCTGTAGCCCAGGACAGGGTGGAGGGCACTGATGGAGGCAGACTCCTGGGAGATACGAAGAAGCTTTGCACGAGACTTGGGGAGATGAGTGGACAAGGCTGCGTTTCGGAGGCTCCACATGAAACTCCTGACTCACTGCAAGATACATCTCAAGGGGAGACCAGGACATGACTACCTAGGAACCCCTAGTTAGATGGGGGAGAGACAGACTCTGCTCCTGGGGATCTCACACCTTGACCTTCTCACCACTAACCTTGCCCCCTTCCTCCTCATTCTGCTCCAGATCCCCCTCCAAATCTGATTGGGCCTTCAGACCCTCGGCTTGTCCCCCATCTGTCCAGAAGGCCTTGTGATCTTGCACCAGGCTACATTTCTTAAAAACCCCCTCCTTGGAAAACAGTTTAAACATGCTAGGATTTAGGAATTTTTGCACCCATGGACCCTTCTTGAGTCTCCAAAGAATAATCATTACAACAAAAGATGACTGGGGAGGGGCGCCCGGGTAGCTCAGTTGGTTAGGTATCTGACTCTTGGTTTCCGCTCAGGTCATGATCACCTGGTTTGTGAGATTGCTTCCCTAATTTGTGACAGAAAAAAAAATGACACATGGGAAAAGGATGGGCTTTTTGAAGAATCATTCTGGGTCAATTTGTATAATGCATGAAGAAAAAATAAATTTTGATCCCCATCTCCACCTAAAAGAAATAGATTTAAAAAAAAAAAACAAAAACCCACCACCACCACCACCACCACAACAACGCCCTCCTTCACTCAGCCTCTGGGGGTTTCCTGGAAACGGGGTGGCGCTGAGTCTGCTTCAAAGTAGCCAAGGGTTATTTTGGAAGGTGACACCTTACCCCTGTCTACCACAGCCCCCTTTCCAAAGCCACGTCACCTTCTAGCACCCACAAGTGCTTGGACAGCTGACGGGGGAACCAGAAGTTCAGAAGTGGAGTCAGTCTGCTCAGGAAGGCCACAGGCAGAGGATGGTGGGGGGGCGAGGTCCCTGCTTGGCACGCCCAAGGTGGGAAGTGCAGAACCAGTAGGCCCTGGTGCCACAAAAGCAGTTACGTTGCCATGAAGTCCTCTGCCTGGGAGTTTGTCTCTAAGGGGCACTGAACAGCAGGTCCCCAGAGACAGGTATGAGCTTCTCTTGTTTGAACCCATTTTAAGGTGTAGAAACTAACGACTTGAAGAAGCTCCCGGAACAGGCCAGTGACAATATTATGCTAGAACCCACATTTCCCACTCTGTCCTGTACCTTCTGTCCACAATCCCAGTTGTCCCTTGGCTAGGAACCCATGGAATTCAGAACGCTCCCAAATGTTTTTTGAGACTTCATGTCGTTTTCTATTTTTTAAAAAATGTTTATTTGTTTTCAAGAGCGAGCATGGGCAGGGGAGAGGCAGAGAGAGAAGGGCAGAGGATCCAAAGTGGGCTCCGTGCTGACAGCAGAGAGGCCGACACGGCACTTGAACCGTGAGATCATAACTTGGGCCAAAGTTGGATGCTCAAGCGACTGAGCCACCCAGGTGCCCCTTCGTGGAGTATTCGAAAGCACAATCAAGGCTAGTGATGTTTTTTCTTTTAAAATGTATTGGAAAAGTATATGCCTCATAAAAGCTAAACACATTTCTATGATTGGCCTTGCTGTGACATAATGATTGCCTTTAATAAATGGTATGTTATGCCCAAGCATTGTGCATGCCCCAACTGTTAATGGCATAAATCCCTCACCACATTCTCTCTGAGGCCATGTTTCCCATGGCTTGCCCCCAGGCAGTGACTAGGCAGGCAAGGACTGAAAGGCAGGGCCATTTTGGGAGATGAGGGAGTCCTCTGATGGGCAATTTTGAATTGAAAACTCCCCCTTGGCTCTGCTGAAACTTTCTTAGAATTGTATCACGGTCTAAGACTTTTCCTGCCCAACCTTCATTCCTTCCTCTGTCCTCCATGCCCAGTCTTCTGCCAGGCCTCCCAGCTTCATCTGGTTCCTTGACCATTTTCCCTCACTAGTGTTTTCCCCAATAAATCTATCCCACATCTAACCGTCTCTTGACATCTGCTTCCAGAGGGGCCTGAACTAACACCTTCCTACAAGCTCCACAAGCTATTCCCCAAGGAGGAAATGCATTGTTTCAGTCCAACAGATATTTCCCCACTTTTGTATTTAATGCATCCACCAACCACACACTGAATCGCGTTTAAGATATTTCATAATTCAGGGCGCCTGGGTGGCTTAGTCGGTTGGGCATCTGACTTTGGCTCAGGTCATGATCTCACCATTTCGTGAGTTCGAGCCCCACGACAGGCTCAGAGCCTGGAGCCTGCTTCGGATTCTGTGTCTCCCTCTCTCTTTGCTCCTCCCCTGCTCTCGGACTCTCTCTCTTTCCAAAATAAACATTAAAAGAGAAAGATATTTCATAATTTCACTGTGTCCTGCAACTTTTCTTACAGTTTCAGTGGCTGGGATACTCAATGCTTGTTGTCTACCCTAAATAGGAATCGATTTTTGATCATTTCTTGTAGCAGTTAATTTGTGACATCTCTGTTGCTTTGTGAGAGGCTGGGATATCTCCTTTAATCTGGAGGTCATGACCTCCTGGCAGTATTCTAATATATTCTTACTTTATGAGTGTTCTGTGGGAAATGAGTTTGTGAAGAGCTGGCCCAAACCCACCTGGAACATATGTACCCTCTCAGTTCCTGATGCTGCTCAGGACAATGGGTGTTAGATAGCTTCCTCTGGCCGAGGGCAGAGCAGAGACTGGCCCTGCCATCATCTGCAGTCTTCCAGGATCAGTGCCTGCCCATCCCGTGCAGAAAAGAGGACCCTCCGTTTTGTCAGCCACCTTGTGTTGACCTCATTGGTTTCCTTTGATGTGTTAAGAATGACCAGAGGGGCGCCTGGGTGGCGCAGTCGGTTAAGCGTCCGACTTCAGCCAGGTCACGATCT